TTCTACACTTTAAGTTAGCAAATTAAATGTCTTTTTAGTTTTATTTAATGTCTTTATGAGCGTTTTTCAAATCTCCATGAGTTTGATTTGCTGTCTTGACGACTTTTTGAGCTTAATTTGATCTCTGTGTAACCTTGATTTTATGTCTATGTAAACTTGATTTGACATCTTTGACAGAAAGGACTCTTACCATCAATTGAATATTTCAATTTAAAACTAACAAACTCATTTGTAAGCTTATTTACTTCAGATATACTTCAGATACAATCAAATCAAATTAATGAAAATTTTTTACATTGTAGCTTTTGACATTTGTTTGTTCGTTATAGGAATTAAGTACATGTTACACCGGCATCTTCATAGTGACCACAATTTGCCTTCCCGTACCCGTTGTGAGTACAATCAAATAGAGAAGCCTCGGTTCCATCACACTTTACGTCATCCAACCAAATTGTTCCCGAGCCTCCAGCAAAATGACGTCCTTGGTGAGCAGTTGAGATTCTAATAAATAAGTTATTAAAATATTCAATATCGTTCTACTGCTAAGTTAGACAACAGTGCGGAAAGACAGCAAATGTTTACCCTGAAAATCCTAAAGTTCTGCAAACGACAGTTGCATCCTTAACGTCCCAGGAATCATCACAAACTGTGCCCCACTCCCCGTTGATAAGTACCTCTACCCGCCCTTCATTTGTTGAAGTCCCATTGACAAGTCGAAATAGCTCTGTCATAGTATATATAAGTACATTTTGTATATATTTGAAAGTGAACACTTCTTTTCCTTCAATCGAGTTTTACTAACGAAACTGCCATTTATGAATTATTATATAATTTATTAAATTGGGGTAAAATGTAGGCGGAATTCGAGAGAAAGTGTGCATGGTTCTTTGATACTTTTCAGTTCGGGGAAACAAGGAGCACATGCTTTCCTATCTGACATTTTTAAAAAAAGAAGCATGTGCTGCTATTGCATGAAATAGATGGAGATAGTATTCAAGCTCAAAGGTCTATTCAACCAATACAAATCAGGAGCAAAGCAAACACGGACTTATACATTATCAGAGGGGGATCAGGTGCCATGGAGGATTGAGCATCCCCTGACGAAAATATTTCATGCCCCTGCATGAAATATATAAATTTGTTAGATCGGCAAGCTTGTTCTCTGTGTTTTCTGAATTTTTTTTTTAGGTCCGTGTTTGCTCTGCTCCTATTTTGTATTGTTTAATTTTTTGAATACTGTTCGTTATCTCCATATCCTTCACTGAAACAAAATGAGCTAAAAAATTCATGAAAATTTGCATAAAATGAGAAAATTTGGAAATTGTCTCATCTTGTGATTTTTCTTTGCCCTTTGTGTATCCCATAACCTAGAATCAATATCAATTGTTTAAGAGGAATGCAACAGGTTTCTAATGATTAATAATTGCATCAGTTTTGAGATACTACAAATTAGGGACCTACAAGTTTCATTCTAAGCACCCTCAAGGGAAATAATGTATAAAGTTATTTTTGCAGTTTAAAGTATAAACTTTTGCAAGTAATTTTGCCCCGTTTTGAATTCGCCCAGTCAATGTTCTATGTAGGAACATATACCGTATTCTTTAAATTCGCCCACCCGTTTCCCTGTATACAGTATATAGTCGTTGGCGTAATTGAGATCGATTGCGATGCTTAGCATTATGATTGTTCTTTCAAGTGTTAAGAGTTATTAGCCGGGCTTATTGCTCAAAGAGCAATTGCCGGCTTATGTCATCCTGTTCAAGGCAGGAAGTCAACCTCATAGTCGCCATTTTAAAGTTACGTGCAAAAATATAGTTCTTACTCTCAACCGCTTTTGAGATAATACAAACGCTAAATAAAGCAACAAAAATAAAGCGAAGTTTTATTTATAAACAAACATTAGTAGTTATGACTTACAAAAAATCAGTCCTAAGTCAAAGAACATAGTTCATTAGCGTAAGGATTTTTGATAATCACTGTTATCGTAGTTCTCTACACATACGAGGTAAAGCAGGAGAGGGAACCAGACTGACATGTTTGTTTACATTCACCTGCGGTACCAGATTAATTCTGATTCTGACAAAATCGGACCGTGGTATTAGGATTGAAAAACACACTGTCAGAGTCTTATCATTTATATTGATAGTTTTAAAATAATTTTTTCATCAGAATGTAAACGTGATTCATGTAAGAAATTCATTTTACTCTGTAAATGAGCCCGGCTCTCTGTACTTCTGAGTACTTTGACCTCTCTTTACTTATTGATTTTTCGTGTTAGAACTCTTTTGTGTTTTTTGGTAAAATTGTTGCATATAAGCCCGCCATTTGTTAACGTGGTTGGACGCCATATAGGAATGAGAGCACCAAATCCCCGGATGAACACATGGCTTTGTTTGTTATGGAACATTAAACAGAATACTGAATGGGTAGGCATTACGCCATTGGCTGAAATCAGGTATTTAATTGTTTTCATTTTAAAGTAAAATTAATGACCTTTGAAATAAATGATGGGATGAGGGAATATTACAGAAACTATAGAAATACCAGGGAAGATTTTAGGAGTGGGGGTTGATTTTTTATGTCGCGTGTTATTTACTGCGAATCTCTATAAGTTGAAAATAACTGCAATTTTGACCTATAAACGCAATGGGACCATATATTTTTTTCAGTATTTTTTGTTAGGGCTTAGAACAAAGTTTGAAATGATGCTAAAGATTTTTCTGAAATTGTCATAGTAAAGTACTGAGAGGGCCTAAGGTTTGTATGGAGTTCTATGGGAAAATAATTAGTGGTCTTTTCCCTATAGAGACCCCAATTTTTACACTGTAAAGTGATTTGAAAGTCATGAAATGTTATTTTTAGCCAATTATTTGAAGATTGATGACATTTCGAGAGAAAATTTAGCAAAAATTTGAATTAGTTTACTGCGGTAATGGGGTTAGTGGTGATTTGGGTCTTTTGAAGAGAGAAGGGGGGGGGGGTAAGAGAAGATAGAATTTAGTAAAGCCCTGTACAGTTGACATGGTCAGAGGAGGAAGGTAAGTTAAGAAAATGTATTAGATTGTCCTTAAGATGAATGATTGTATGTATGAATAGATTTATGTATGTATTTTGCATGTACATGTGACTGTGTATTTATCATGTTTTGCTCTATCTGTGTATATTATGGAAGTGTAGGACAGTGACCTGGTGTTCATTTTTTCTTAGTTTCTTGGACTTTTGCACTTTTGGCATTTTTTCAAATAATTAAGGTGGCACATAAAAGGAATTTTTGTGATGGACAAGTGAAAGGAGGACATTTTCTGTCTTGTCATCTCATGTTTGGTAGTGTATGTGTTCCTCTGGATTGCCCCCCCCCCCTTTCTTGGCTGCAGGGTGATCAATTTGTAGTTTTGTTGTTTCTATGTTGTAGCTACACAAAGGTCTATGTTTTCTCTTTTTTTGCTATTTGTAGTTTCATCAGAATTACTCGCTGCGACTCACTTTCTAATGGTTTCTAGTTTTTGTACTTAGAGTTACTTCCCTTAGACCTGCTGACCAGATAGGTAGAATTTCAACTTGATGATATCTTAACTGTTGTGACCTTTGGCTTCTGATTTTTTTTCATATATTATTGTAATGACCTTGAACTGCATGTATGACATTTGACCTTTATTATATTTACATGTAATAATATGTAATATTGAAAAACATGTATTCCACCCTTGGCGGATCCATTTTTCATACATTTAGCTATGTAGAAGACATGTAATTAAGGAAATTTATAGAAAACTTGAAAAATATTATTGTTTCTTTCATGATTTATGCTTACATTGACTAATTTTATTGATTTATTTTCATTTAAGCACTTTAGAGGAATTTCATCTTTCAGCTTTCTTTGCCCCGGGAGTGCTCGGTCTCTGATCAGCGGGGGCATTTTCTCTATATAAGAGGGAGACGGAGACTCCCTACCCACCCGATGTATTTTGTCGGACAGTTTTCTGTACATTGCAGGTAAATTTTTTATTTATTAACTTTCCAGCCTCTTATTGTATAGTACATTTTGGGGTTTGAAGTCAGTTTTTGCTTTTCTTTAATTTTTAAAAGAATTATTTAAATTCTCCTTTTCTTAGCAGGAAATTCAAAAAGTAGCTTCTGATTGTAATGTATAAGACTACAGATATTGAACTTTGATTTGTTATCAAAAGGATTGATTTACTCTTGTCTAAATTAATTGTAAACAAAAATAAAAGGGGGCACCTGCTATTTCTTTAAGTGTTTTTCACTGGGGGGTGGGGAAACTTTTTTGTACATACTTAAGCAATAGGAGGGATTAGATAAGAATCAATTAGTGTATCAGAGTCTTAAATAATTTACTTTGCATAAACATAAAAAAAATTCTATATCAGTCTTTTTAAAACCTTTGAATTTTGCTTAATTAACTATGATTTATCCAATTTTGGAGCTTTTTTCTTTATTCAGGGTAGAATCCACCCTTATGAAATTATTGACTCAATTTTGACTTAATATCACTTTATTAACATCAAAACACAAAAACAATTCATTGTACAAATATTTTATTTATTACAGTCACCAATATATCCAAATATCATCACCGGCCCAGACGTCATTCACTCCTTTGAACTGTGCTGGTAGCAGTAAGGTGTCGTCATTTGAGATGGTCACAGTATCCAATACACTGAAGTCACAGGACTCAAATTTCATACATGTTCACAGGTAGGTGTATAGTCTTTGAAATTACCCCAATTGACTAATTCTGGGACAGGTAAGTATGTAAGTATAGGAATGAGAGCACCAAATCCCCGGATGAACACATGGCTTTGTTTGTTATGGAACATTAAACAGAATACTGAATGGGTAGGCATTACGCCATTGGCTGAAATCAGGTATTTAATTGTTTTCATTTTAAAGTAAAATTAATGACCTTTGAAATAAATGATGGGATGAGGGAATATTACAGAAACTATAGAAATACCAGGGAAGATTTTAGGAGTGGGGGTTGATTTTTTATGTCGCGTGTTATTTACTGCGAATCTCTATAAGTTGAAAATAACTGCAATTTTGACCTATAAACGCAATGGGACCATATATTTTTTTCAGTATTTTTTGTTAGGGCTTAGAACAAAGTTTGAAATGATGCTAAAGATTTTTCTGAAATTGTCATAGTAAAGTACTGAGAGGGCCTAAGGTTTGTATGGAGTTCTATGGGAAAATAATTAGTGGTCTTTTCCCTATAGTTTACTTCTACAAATTCACCATAATTTAGGCCAATCACAGAGTATGTATTTATTTGTAAATTATTTGTAATTATTCTGTAAGATGATTATCTCTATATGTTTATATACCTTTTTTAGAGGTTTAAAGCAGTTTTATGTATATTTATTGAAGCTTTCATACTGGAAACTTGTCGTCTGTTGATAATGTAAATATAGCCTTGTTTTAATTTGTACAACTTTCTACGAATTTTTTGCTAAACGATATATTGATAATGTTACAAGTTATCTCGGAGTATATTTTCATGGTTTTGACCTAATATCTGTGGTTTAATACTTCTAAATGTCATGCTGCAAAATTTTATTTCTATGGAAGCTATTTAGTGTCATAAGTCCTTTTTATATTGTCGCTATTATCCATAGTAATTTTGTTCAACTATATGAAATACCAGTTTAATATGAATGTAAGTTTATTTTGTATGAAATTCAAGTGTTTCATTGTATCTTTGTTTATATTTCAGTCTTTTACCACACACTCTTGTACATAACACATTGATGCAACTGAACCAGAGCTGTTGTTGTCAATCTGTCAGTGCATTGGTTAACTACTAGTATCTCTCTGGAGACCAGGGGTCATAGCGACAGAACAATGATATTCTTCATTTTTCAACCATTAACAAGACAAAAAATATTTTCTCTTTGCACTTACTTCTTAAATTACTGTTGTACATGTAAATCTTTTATTTCCTATAAATAGCCTTTATAGAGGAATCTGGAAAAGTCCATATATTGTTCTATACTTACTTTTCACTTCAGTATTACATTCCACTTCTACAGCACCAGTATTACTGCAGTCTCCTAGGCCAATGGTTCCAAATTTACATCCAGCTAATGTTCTTTCCGCTCCAGTACACTTAAAACCTTTTACATACA